GTTCCAAGGCACTTCCCACCACGGGGCTGGCTGGGATTGAGGCCTTTTGGGGCTCTAAGAGGAGGCAACTCTGCCAAGTGTCCTGGCAGCAAAGCTTTAATTTGCTTAATGAGCGTGTCCACACGTTCCCTGCGCTACCGACCTCCCTCAGCCAACCTGGCATTTCTGGCACTGCAAGGGCTGCACTTCGGGGTGTCAAACAGGAGGAAGCAGCACTGGGGACACAGAAGCAAGATAAGCAAGGCCAGAGGGCAGCACATTCCCAATCCCAGGCGGGGGAATGAGGGATGCAGGAAATCCCAGCGCGGCACAACCGACCCCTGCTCACTGCGGGAGAGGCCAAACCCAAACACAAAATGAACATTTAAGGATTGTATTCCATAGCTTGGATTAGGTCATGCTCAGCACTGATATAAGCTCCATTTGCATCACCTATTTCTTACATAAACTTTTAGCTTTCCTTGCAAAACACACCCTGGCACTTGAGGGTGTTGGTTTGGTTTTGTTTTTTTTTTTCCTTGAGAGTAAAACGACCTTTCTTTGTCATCATTAATATTTGTACCCACACAATTACTCCTTCCTCAACAGCACACACGAGGCTACTCAGCAGCTCAAATGTGAATTCCCTCCCAGCCTTAATAGATTTGCATTAGTGGAGATTTTTTGCTCCCAAACCTCAGCGTCCCTGACCTGCAGAACACGGCACTGAGGGCATTTGTGTGTCCAAAGCTTGGCTTATTTATGGCAGGGTGAAGCTTGGCTTCCACCCACCTCCAGCAGAACTCCCTGCATTTAATGGATGGGGATTTGAGAGCCCTGAAGTTAAAAAGAGCAAGGGGAACTGAGCAGCAGCTTCATCCAAGAACAGCAGGAACCCAAACCCAGCCCAGAGAGGGAATAAAACCCCTCCAGTTTTCTGATTCCTCCCTTGTTTAGTTCCCTGCATCGCTGGGGCTTCCAAGGTGTTTGCAGCTTTGGAGATACTTTGGAAGCCTTAATGATTTTTAAGGTGATTTTTAACAAAGGAGGCTACTGTAAAATAGGGCATTTTGCATATTAGCTGTTCAAAGGGGTTTTTGAGGAATAAAAGCTTTGGGTTTGTTGCTTTTTTAGTCCTTTGCTGTTTGAATTCTCAGAGGTCTCTGGGCACGGGGACTCCAGTCAAAGTTGTTGTTGTTATTGGTAATAAATATCATTATAAATGTTACAAAACATGTTGCACAACAAGAAATGTCTTGTCTGAAGAGTCCACTGCTTGGCCACGCTAAAACCCAGCAGTAAACCTGCACCATAAAGAGGATATTTCAACCCAACTCAGTGGAGTTGGAGGCTTCTGTCAGAGGTTTTACTGCTCATTTCTTGTGCCTGTAGGTTTTTCAGTTTCTTGGTAGACCCTAAAAAACTTTTAAAGCCTCAAATCACAACTATTTATCACCCATCAGGGAGCTCCATAAAACGTATTTTCCTTCAGAATGACTGTTCTCGTTAAAAAAAAATAAAAACTAATTTAAAGAAAGAAAAAAAAAGACAATTAAGAACACTTTTTTAAAAAAATCTCCATTATAACCCAACTTACAGGGATCCTTAAAACTTAAAAATTAATGCCACCTGCAAGCTGTAAATATATGCATTATTCCATCTTTTTTTTGTCCTCCCACCCCCCCCAAGTATTTTCTTTGGCTGTTACATTCAGCTGAACGAGGCCTAAAAATTGTCAAACTGAATTCTTGTTTAAGAGCTGAGCTGGAAGCACTGCCAGTTGGAGTGAAACACCCAGCCAGGTTTAGGGAATACGTTGTATTTATTTTGGCTGAGGGTGCAAAGGGGGGGGGGGGAGAACATTTTCCATCCCATCCCAAGGCAGGCAAAAAAAAAAAAAAAGAATAAAAAAAGGGGCTTGAAATATTGCACAATAAAAGCCATTCATTATATCTGTCTCCTCTGCCTTCCAAAAACAAGAAGGGTTGACCAGTTCCAAATCTGTGCAGGGGGCAGGAAGATGGGAGTCAAGGGGTCACTGGAAATAACCCAAGACTAACACCAGGTTTTTCAGGTTGGAGGCAGGGAATGTGTTCCATGCCCTCATTCCCAGCTCATGCAGGTTTTTCATCTCCCCCTCCCTCTCTTCCAAAGCCTGGTTCAAGTAGTTAATTGCTCTGTTCTGCACAATTTGCAGGACTTAATTACAAAACTAATACATTAGGCTGCTTGTCTGCGAGTCACGGGCCCAAGTGCAGCTTTTCTGCTGGGACCCGGGGAAATCAGAGCTCATTTCCAGTTCAAACATTTGGATTTGCAGTTTTTCTCCTCATTTTAAACCCCTCCAATTTGCAGGGACACCGCACTTCCCTTGGGTTTGTTTTATATCTCCAGTGCTCACCTACCTGTTGAAAATGAGATTTCTTTCCCTGTCCACTCTTGATCCTTGTGTTTAAACCATCCTTAAAAACTAGGATTTTTTGGATCCTTGGATTACTTGGATTTTTCTCATTTTAAACTCCTGCAATTTGCAGGAATACCCTACTCCAGTTTGTTTTATATTTCCAGTGCTCATCTGCCTGTTGAAAATGAGATTTCCTTCCCTGCCCACTCTTGATCCTGTATTTGAGCTATCCTTGGATTCCTTGGATTTTTCTCCTCACTTTAAACCCCTGAAATTTGCAGGGATACCCCACTCCACTTTAGTTTGTTTTATATTTCCAGTGCTCACCTACCTGTTGAAAATGAGATTTCTTTCCCTGCCCACTCTTGATCCTTATGTTTAAACCATCCTTAAATACCTGGATTTTTTGGATCCTTGGATTCCTTGGATTTTTCTCCTCCTTTTAAACCCCTGAAATTTGAAAGAACACCCCACTCCACTTCAGTTTGTTTTATATTTCCAGTGCTCATCTGCCTGTTGAAAATGAGATTTCTTTCCCTGCCCACTCTTGATCCTCGTGTTTAAATACTTGGATTTTTTTGATCCTTGGATTTTTCTCCCCCTTTTAAACCCCTGCAATTTGCAGGAACACCCCACTCCAGTTTGTTTTATATTTCCAGTGCTCACCTACCCATTGAAAATAAGCTGGAATTCTGCAGCATTTTTTTAGAATTGATTATTTTCAAGTCAAATAAATCAAAAGGCATTTGCAGCCCTTGTTATTTTTTCCCCCCTGGTTACCACGTTGGGATGAGAAAACTTTTTACTTCTATTAACTCATGTGGGAGAAACTTGGTCATCTCATCTCCATTTTTATAACTTAATGACAGCAAAATATTGGCACAAAGTAATTCCTGGGAAACATTAACACTTTCCCTTCAAAAAAACTTCCTGAAGAATTCAAGGCTGAGTTTGTTCTTTGTACCTTGAGCTCGTTAAAATCGAGGGAATTTAAGCAGAGACCATTTTCCAAGTGTGAAAAATTATCAGCCCTTGCTTCTGTTACAACCTTCTGCATAACTGAAGACTTGTCTCCTCTCAAATCCACTCTGGATTAAGGAGACAATTGATTTTTTGAGAATTTGAGGACAAATTCTCTCCAGAGGATGGACAAAAGGAACTACAAGCACTAAGTGGAAATATCTGTTGGAAACAACTGTAACCTCACCGTTTCTTGTAGTTCCTACCTCACCCTGAGCACCCACAACTCTTCCCTAACAACCCTTTTTCCCAGGACAAAAATCCAAGCTTTGTTTTCTCCTCCCTATAAAAGCCCTATCTCCTTTTAGCAGGTAATCATTCCACTCCAGAATTTATCTCCAGATAAATTCCAGGGCTCAGCTGCTGGTTTGCTTTATTTTTTTTTTTTTGTTTTGAACGTCAGGAGCAGCAGCTCTTCCGAAGTGACTCATTTTTTTAAGCTTCAGATTTTCACCTCAGCCAGCACCTCGACCGTTTTTGTCCCTCCTGCTGTGCTTTCCCAGCTCCCTCCCAAGCACAAAGCTCGTGTCAGCCTGCCCTCTCCTGGCAGCCAACAGCACTCAGCCCCCAAACTGCTCCCAAATCCCAAAATAAAACATCAAGCAAACCGGTTTGGGAGGGGTTTAAGACCTGTGGATGTGGCACTTTGGGGACAGGGTTTATGGCCTGGACTGGGGGATCTTAAAGCTCTTTTCCAACCTCCACGATTCTACAACTTGAACAATATTTAAGTAGCAAAGTTTCTTTCAAGCTGCCTGAGGAGTTCTTGTCTTGGGAGGAACAGGCATAAAAATCAAACTGCTCTGTTTGCTTTTAAGCCCTATAAAAGCAGCCAAGTACATAAAACATTTTAGTCCACATCACCAACGATAAAAGCAAGGCTGGTGTTCCACAGAAAGCTGTTTCCTCTGGGCTGGCACAGGAATTCCTTCGTGGGAAACACCAGGAAAAATGAAAGCAGCAGCAAGTGCTGGAGCAAACCACTGACAGTCACTTTTTATTGCACTGGTGCAACTAGAAAAATGCAACCAGGGAGATGCCAGGCCAGGCACTGAACCCCAGGGCTCTGCTTTCTGTGCTCAGGGGCTGGAAATGAAGCTCAGCTTCAGCTGGTTCACCTCCCTCAGCCAAGCTCATTTTTCTACGTGAATTTTATAGATAAGAAAGATTTAAAAGCTTTTTTTTTCTTTTTTCCTTTTTTTTTTTTAAATGACCCACCTTTAGAGCAGAGAAACAGAATTCAGGAGCTGTTTCTAACACAAAATCTTACTCTCAGAAACTTTACCTCTGCTCTTGTCCAGGAGTCAAACAGTCTTTTCAGAAGATGGTAACAGGTCCCCCACCTCTTCCTCCTCCTCTTCAAGCCAGTTCTTTTCTTTCTTATTTGCAGAAAATCTCAAAAGGGTTTTCAAGTGTATTTTTTTTTGAAATCTAGAAGAAAATTTGTGCAGATTTCAACAGCACTTTAAAAGGAATGATCAAGCACTTTAAAAGGAATGTTTGCTGGGAAGCAAACACTTCAAGCAGTTGTAGCTGAAAGGACACATAATTTACACCATGGTTTAACTACTAAAGACAACTCCACGTTCATCATGGGTGAAGAATTTTTTATTCTCTTGATTACCTGCCACAGCTGTACCAGATCAACCCCCTGAGCCAAGCCAGTCTTCCCCACAGGTCTGATCTTCAAGCATTTTAGGCCTCAAGACATGGAAAATTAGCTCTAAGTTAACCAGAAAATTAATAAGGGAATAAAAGTGGAAGAGAGGAGAAAACAGCACTTGGACAGAACATAAGACTCTAATATTCATCTTCACTTCAGAAAATCAGAGACAGCTGAAACCTCGCTGAGTGTCCTCGGGAGGTTTTTCTGCTTCTTCTGAGTGTTTGGTGTTATTTCTGTCCTTCTTATTTACAGAATTTGTGATTCTCCTTTTCTGGGTTTGAGCCCAAGGAGTTTCTGGAGGTGTGGGTGCACTTCTCCTCCTCCTCCTCCTGCCAGGCCCGTGGGCACAACGAGCAGAGTCCTCGTTCTCCTTCCCCAGGGCTGGGAACAGGCCGGGGCTCTGCTCTCGGGGTTGAACGTTCTCAGCCCCCACCAGGATGGATGTGCTGACTCTCCTCCTGGATTTGGGAGCGGGAGCTGGCAGGGGAGGCTGCTCTGGGAGCTCCCTGGGGAGCTGAATCCATGCAAGTCCCTCAGTTCCTGCCTCTCTCCTGAGCCTCATGCTGCGCCGCACTCTGGTCTCGCCGCCGGCGCTGCCCTTCCTTCGGGAAGGCTGGAAGGAGCTTTTGGGAACACACAAAACTTCTTCCACGTTATAAGATGACACTGGCAGGTCCATTCCAGTCATTTCCAAGTTTTCAACAGGAGGAAAGTAGATGGCACTGCTGCTTCTTCTTCTTCTTCCTCTTGCTGGGCTACCACTTACAGAACCTGGCTGAGGGCACTGAGTTCTCTGGGCACCCTCGTGTACATCAGTGGCCTGTTGTTCCAGAAATCCCAGGAGATTTCCTTCTAGTTGCTCATTTTCTGTCAAGGAACTACTCTCCTTTGCTTCATCTTCACCTTGCTGGAAACCCTCAGATGTACCAAAACCACCCTCTGCATCTGGCACGACGTTTGAAACCTGGGGGGGATAAAAATAATAATAATTCTTCATTTTTATTTTTTTTTTAGACACAGGCAAAAGGTGATCCACAAAAACCTGGTTTCAACTAAACAACTGTTGGTGTTTTCCACCCCATGCCTAGTCATTCTCCAAATGGCTAGACAGACTGACTCCACAGAACCCTGGCATCCAGAATCCACAGGTTGGAAGTTGTTTCAATGTGAGGCCAAGCTCAGGTTGCTTGAGAATCCCAGATTCCTGGGATGGGCTGGGTTGGAAGTGACCTTCAAGCTCATCCCATGTCCCATGGGCTGGGACACCTCCCACCAGCCCAGGTTGCTCAGAGGCCTCACTCAGTGGAGTTCTAAACCCTCAGCACCTCTTCCAAGGCTGGAGATCCCACGGCCTCTCCAGGCAGCCTGTTCCAACCTTTAATCCATCATCCTTCCTGTGTTTTCCTTCCCTCCAAACGTGACTTTCCTGATCCTTAAGCAACTCATTACCTCCTGCTCAGTGCCAGAAGGAGCCTCCAGGTCCTCCTGGGACACCTGAGGGGCCCCATCCCTGGAGCTGCCAGGAGCTGCCACATCCAGGTCCTTGGAGCTTGGATCCACATCCCCTGCATGGATGATGCTCTTCCCTCTCACCCCTTCAACCACCACCTCCTCCTGGACATCCTCACAGGCATTCCAGGATTTAGGATTATCTGCAGCTGCATCCTCTGAATCAGGACAAACAGGTGGTTAATTAACTCTGGGAATGCACAAAAATCTCTTTTAATTATTACAAAAAAAAAGCTTCATAGTATTTTACTCTACATAAAATTAACCTTCTAAACAACCATTCCAGAGAAATAGTGGGAAAACCCCCACAGAAAGCTCTGCACATCCCTTGACTCTTCATGCCCAACTCACCAGCTTTAAAGACTGAAAATATCAGTGCCCAAAGAAAAGAGGTCCTTTTTTTGTCAGCTTTACACTGGAGTCCACCAAGAGGTGAATTTATTCAGTTGGACATTACTGATCTATTAGATCCTCCAGATTCTGCTATTATAGAGGTAATTAAATTAAAAAATATAATAGTGGGTTCGTTACTGATGCACAAAGATAACCAGGAACAGGTTTTTATGGAATAAAAAAACGAGAAGGAACAGAGAGAGCACAGCAAAATAAAGCTAAAAACCAAATTACCTGAAAAAAGCCCCTCTGCCTTTGGTGAGTCTGGAGATGAGACAGAAGAGAAATCCTCTGGAATTTCAGGGATAGGGCTGAGAAGGGGTTTCTTAGAAGCCATCTCTCTTTCCCCATATAGAGATTTTTTCACTTTTCTCTTTCTTCTTTTCCCGTAGCTTGTTTGTCTTGATCTCTGCAAACATTGAGAAGCCTGACTAGAGCACAACATCCTCCACAACATTTTCTATCAAATAAGTGACACCACTGCTGGATTGGGATGGAAGAACAATTGTTTCCCCTAAAAGGAAGGTTCCCCTTGTTCTGTAATCTACAAGTTAATCAGAGAACTCCAAGAATTTCTTTTCAAACACAAGACCTGGTTTTTGGGTCCCTCAACCAAACCCAGAAGGCAAAGAACTGAGTCTTTCAGCTCTGAAAACTGCACTTTCTTCACCCATTGCTCAGTCTGAAAAGGATCAGGGGCAAAAATCTTTTAGAAGCTTCAAAGCTTTGTGACACTTAAATAAAATAGGACTGGGCAGGTTCAAACATCTCCTGCTGCAGGCACTTGGGAAGGGAAGAACCAGAAACTCATTTGCTGTCCCTGAAGTGTGAAAAGGCATAAAAAAACCCCTCCTTTTTGCCCTAGAAATATTCAAACCCTGCTGATCAGCCTGAAAAGTGACACAAACACCCCCCCTTTCGCCTCCTTTTTGCCCTACAAATATTCAAATCCTAATAAGATCAGCCTTTCTTGGGAAGAGGAACTCGGCAGCAAAGGCTGGGAAACAACTTGGGAACGAAGAAGAAAATCTTGGCAGCAAGAAAGAACAACAAAGACTCTTTACAAAAGTCAAAATAATCAGAGAAAACCCAAGGAGAGACACTTGGATTGGGGAATAAAGGCAGGAATCCCCAGTGCAGTGGCTGCCACTCACCTGTGGTTTTTTGGGAGCAGATGTGGGTGGATTCTTCTGGCGTGGGATCTTGTTCCTCCTTGGATTTTTAGTGCCTTCAGCATTCCTGGTGGTGGTGGCTCCTGAGGGTTTGCCATCAGCCTGCTCTGACTCAGCCCTGTGCTGTTGAGGAATTTTGAGTTGTTTTTTATTAAAAAAAAAAACCCACCAGAGTCCAACTGGCATCAGAATCAAACTGGGCTTAGTCTCTATAATTTCATTTATGGGGCCATAAAAGGTAGAGACAACTGGAAATTAAATGTTACAGAGCTTGTCTTCACACAGTAAATACAGCCCTTTTTGCACAAAAAGGACATTCTAAGGAGAAAAATGCTAAATTTTTTATCTTCACTTCTTTCTTTCAGGGAAGATGGGTTGGTTTTTTCATATTCCTGGTTGGGTTTTTTTTTTTGCCTTCCCTCTCTCCAATAAACCACCCCAGAGCTGTCCAATATTGAAGTGTGAAAGCTCTTCTGACACAAATTGTTGTACAATTAAAATTCCAGCAACCACAAAGTTTTGTCAGATTGTTTGGGAAAGCTCCTGGAAAATTCCATGGAAATAGTAAATTTAAATATCAATAAAAAAATAATGGTTTTAATAACTGGAAAACCACTTTCACTCAGAAAAATCTCATTTCCTGGAGACAATTCCCTGCACTAACAGGAGGTATTTCCATATGCCTGGAGATGGACAATCCTCAGGAAAAGGTTGGAAAAGGGGGTATAAAACATAACAATTCTGCCTGAAGAAGTTCAAAAAACAGATAAAAAAATCATCACTAAAGAAATTTACCTTCCTTTTAGCAGAAGAACGAGTTTTTACCATGTCAGCTTTGTCAGTTGGTTCTGTGATAGATGAAAAATAAAAGAATTTTGATTCAGTTTCAGTGCAAAAGTTGATCACATCCCAAGGAAATTATCCCCATAACTCCTAATATTATGCACTTGAACCACCTTTGGCTTGAGTAGTGACTTATTCTTGAGGAATATTAAACATGGCAAGATAAAATAAATAACATTTTGCTTTATAAAATAGAGGAGAACTAAACTGGGGAGGGTTTGGTGAGAAATAATTAGCACACAACAATGCCCAGATTTCATAAATACATGTGCACAACCCCCTTTCAATTCTTTTATTGTTGGCTTGATATTTTAATATCAGAATTGTGATTGTAAGCCCAATTTAAGTCCAGACTTACTTCTTTAAGTCTGACTAGATCAGGCACTTCCAGAGAAAATACAAGGTTAAATAACAACCTAAACCTACTGCCAAGAGCTTTAGAAGAGAGCATTTAAATTTTAGCACAATTGAAATACATCCTCTGTATAAAAAAAAGCCAAACAGACAAAAAAACCCCAAAGAATAAAATCTCAATTCTCAATTTTTCAGGTGCAAAAAGATTCATTATCTACAGCCAAAAAAGCAAGTTACCTTCTGCATTTTCAACAGGTGGAGGGTCTTCTGCAGCAAAGGAACTCTCCAGGAAATCTTGGGGAGGCTCAACACATTCCTTCAAACAAAAAAAGTTACATTTTTTAGCAATAAATATGCCAGATAATGATATTTTTTAACAATAAATTACACCAGAGATGTACTGAAAAACCCCTTGTCCATCAGTGTTTGGAAGAGCCAAGTGGTTTTATTATTTTTTCTTAAAGAATGCACCAGATCATTGACTACATGTGGCAAAAAGAGTTACAGCATCCAAATAGAAGAAAAAAACAAGGCAAAAACACTCCTTGTGCCACCAGTACCCACCTTCAGACCCAGCTTTACAGGCCAAAGTGTTGCTCAGAATTCATAAAGCAAAAAGAAAGTTGAATAAAGCAGCCTTAAATTTAGTATTTCAGCAATTTCTTTGCAAAACCAAGCAGGTTGAGGGGAAAAAGTTCAATAAAAATTCAATAAAAAGTGACCATTCACAGAGAGCAGGGGCTGTTTTTGCAGCTTTAAAGAATAACAATAAAGAACTTACATCCTCACAGCCAAACTCCAGCCTGGGTAAAGGTTCTGCAGTTAAGCCTGGCCTTGGGGAAGGGCTGGAGCTCAGGCCTGGGGAGGCTCCTCTGCGCAGGGGGGTGTTTGCAGGCAAGGTCTGGTCGAATATTTCAGGGCTCAGAACTTCTCCAAAAGTCACTTTTTTCTTCTTGGGCGTTTTGAGGTCGAGATTTTCAGTGTTCTCTGCTGGAATAAAACAAAGGAGCAGCTCAGGGGATGTGGGACTGTCCCAGAGTGGGTTTTGCATGGGTCTGAACACCCCCCTAAAATCCCAAACAAACAGCAAAATCCACCTTTATATGTCCTGTGGGATCATCCACAATTTTCAGTGCAGCTTTATTACAGTATAAAGAATTAAGGAAGAAAGCAGAAGACTAGGAATGACCAGCTGTTCCACAAGTGTAAAATTCTTGGAAAAATCAGTGACTCTGCCCTAGTGTCAGAGGCTTCCTGAAGATTTTTGGGGTGGGATTAATTTTAGCAGATTTTATTTAGTGGTGTTTTATTTTATTTAGTAGAGTTGATTTTATTTTATTTGCCTTGGCAATCTCATTTTCCAGGTCATGCAGTGGGAGGCCACACAGGAGCTAAAACAGTGGTGGTTAAAGTAGATCACCAAAAAGATTTAGCAAAGAGGCCAAACTTTATGATCCCAGATGATACTCTGCCTATTTAAAAAACAAAATGGGAATTATTTGGTTTTTAAAAAAGGGGAATCTAACCTGTTTCTGATGCTTCAAAGGTTTTTTCATAGTAGGAGACTGAGACAGGTTCCCCTCCTCCTCTGCCAACTGCATCATTCAAGTATTCCTGTAAAATTTAAATGATACCAGTCAGTACTATTTAATTATCAAATCTCAAATTTAATTAAAATATCCTTCTCAAAAGTGAAGATAAGTTTCCCTGTGAGCAGCATTTAATAACCAGTCCTTTTGTTTTAAAAACTTAATTTGTATGCTCAATGAATAAAACTCAAAGACATTCATATCATATCCAGAATCCTGGAATGGTTTGGGTTGGGAGGGACCTTAAAGGGCTTCTCATTCCACCCCCTGCCATGGGCAGGGACACCTTCCACTAGCCCAGGTTGCTCCAACCTGGCCTTGGACACTTCCAGGGATGCAGGGGCAGCCACAGCTTCTCTGGGAATTCCACCCCAGCCCCTCCCCACCCTCACAGGTGGAATTCCTTCCCAATATCCCACCTAAACCCACTCTGTCAGTGGGAAGCCATTCCCAGGCCCTTGGAAAATGGTGTCTCTCCATCTTCTTGCAGGTCCTGGAAGGTGCAATTAGGTCAAGGCCAGATCTCCTCCTAACACAAAAGCTTCAAGCCAAGCAGCATTAAATTATTTCCCACCAACATCAAAGGCTCTTTAACCCTGACCCAAGTGCTGCTCACTCCTTAGGGCTCTGCAGCAGCTCATCCTTGGTGTTGGGACCTCCCTGGACCCCAGAACCAACCTTTGGGCTGCCCAGGAGTTGCCTCATGGGGGTTTTCTTCAGGATGGACCTCAGGGAGCTGCTCTGGGTGAGGTCGCTGAAGGGAACGGTGCCTGCTTGTCGTGGGGTGGCAGGGGGGGTGACGAGGGCTTTGCTTTCCTCCAGCATTCCCAGGCTCAGTCCTGCCACAAAAGCAACCTTCTTCCTGCTCAGAGCCGAGAGAACATCACTTCTGCTGTCAGCAGGGGTGGGCTCAGACCTGAAAACTTTGGGGCAAGGGCACAGATACGTCAGTTAAAGGCTGAAGGGAAATCGAGGAGGCTTCAGGATCAACAACACAAACTTGCACAGATTCTGTGCAGCAGCATCAGGGAAAAACCCATTTGTTTGGAAATTTTGGCTCCTGTGGCGCCACATTTCTGTTCAATATTTTTGGGAATTTATAGAACACCAAAAAGGAGCGCTGCATGGAGGAAAAGACATTTTGCATGGGGATTTTGTCAGTTGTGGGGAGGGGGAAATGAATGTGTTCTCTGATGTACAGAGAGGGACTCTCTGCATTCATATCCCTCTCTCCTTCACAGCCATGAGCTACTCAACTCTACTTTTCCTTAAAAAAAAAAAAATCCTGGCTAGAAAATTACAGAAAACTAAGCAATTATTCCCAACCTGTCCCTCAGTTTGAGCTTTTTTCCCTACCAAGCTTCCCTACCCCACCTTCCCAATATTTCAGCCCTTCTCATAAAAGCTCTTTCCTTCAGTGCTTCAGTAAGACTGTGTTTAATGCTTGGCTGGGCTGAACAAACTCCAAATTCTGGTTTTAAGCTGGGCTTTGAGGCACAGCAGCTCTCAAACTGTTTGTTATTTACAGCCCCTTTTTTTTTTGTGTGTTCCCCCATCAGCATTTATGTCAGAGTGACCTCAGGTTTCTGGTGCATCATAAATTGCAGGCAAGAGAACAGATATGAGGTGAAACATTTCCTGACAAATATTCCAGGGGGTTTATTTCCTGAGGAGAATATAAGAAAGGTTTTAATGCTGATGAATCCTCTTACCATGGCCTCTTTCCAAGGGATCTCCAATTGCAACAGTCTCCAAGGACTCAGAAGGATTTTTTTGCCCATAAACCCATTCCTAGAGAAAAAGTTACAAGATTTTATATATATATATATGTCAATATATATCATCAATTTATATAGACACATGATAAAGAAATAAAAAACTACCTGACAATGTTGCCTCTTAAAATAGCACAAACTGTGGAGCTTTTTAATCCCACAAAGATTTCAGTGTTTTCTCAATCAGCCACTACTTTAGTTGGATTTATTTTCCCCAAAACTAAATGTTTAAAGGGATTAGACAGCACAAATGAAAACATAAGGCATGAAAAAGCTATTTTAATCACTAAATTAGAAGTTTCCTCTTAATTCTGAGTACCTGTAGAGCAGCAGGTTCAGTCACAGTTGGGTTTGGAGACAAGATGCTGCAGATCCTGGGGTCACATTTACTGCTCCTGGTCACGTTTTCCCTGCAAAAATTCTCTTTCAAATCAGCTCCACTGTTGTCCAACAGGAACTTTTCACTCCACTGCTCCAGGTCTGGCTCCTTTTTAAAAGGCACTTTGTTCTGAGCTGCATCAATTAAGAACAAAACACAAACCAAACAAACCACAAGGACAAACTTCAGGTTTTTTTCAGTGAATTCTGGTTTTAGGTTTCTTCACCAAGAGGATGGTGAGATGCAAAAAGCCAGGTCATGTTTTAGGCAGGGAAAAGAAAACACATTGAAAATAACATCACCAACCCTCCAAAACAAAGCAAGTTATCCTTTGCATGTAAATGTTTGGAAGATCATCAATACCAGAGAAATAAAATAAAAACCATTCTCAGCTTCATGGGAAAAGTGTGCAAACACTAATGCTTAGTGAAAAAGCACAAAGATTATAAATCTAGGAACTAAAACTGAGGAAAGAGTCATAAAACCACAAGTTTACATTTTTTTTCTGAGGAACCACCATTCAGGATGCACCAAGATGGTTAAAAGACACAAAAAAACCCCTCAAAGCAAACCCAAAACCCACCTGTGCCAAGCCTTATAAAGGAAGATTATTTTGTTTTACATGAAGTATTTTTAGTTTCTCACTTTTTAGCCTAAAGGAAGGCCTGATGTTTAAGACAAACCACTGAGCAGAGTATTAAATCAACTTACAAGAGCCTCCTTCCTGAGAATCATCCCCGTGGGACAGCCCAGAGAGTCCAGTTTCTCCTTCAGCTTCTTGGAGGGATTCAAAAGATGTTTGAAAGGTTTCAATCTTGTCCTTCAACGACCTGACATTCACATGTTTAAAAGGACTGATCTGCCAAAACAAAAATTAACCTCATCAGACTCTTTATTGCTTTGTATTTATCCTTTGAGATAAAAAAAAAGAGAGAGAAGAACCGAGTCTTGTGTTTAATCTGCCTGCAGCTGTAGGTGGATGGTAAGAATAAGCAAAAAAAGGAACTTTATCGAGAAATATTTTAAGTTTTACTGCATTTTAATAATCTGTTCCTCTAAGCCATGCCCAGAATTTGCTTTCTGACAGCCTGGGATAGTTCAAGTTAACAACAAGTCTGATTAAACCAGTCACTTGTGCTCATATTGACTTCACTCACAGCACTTTAATTACCCAAAAAATCAAACTTGGAAAGTAAGACAAGTTAAAATCCATCAGCAGGCTCAACGTGGAGAAGATTCCAGCCTCTAAACAAAACCTGGAATATCCCCTTAGCCTAAAGTCAAGTGGCCAAGGGAAGGCAGCAAAATCAGGTTCTCTCTCCTGCTGGATTCCTCCCAGGCCTTGCCTCATCCTGGTGGTTCCTGGGGGGAACTGAAGTGCCCCAGGTGATATTTGGGAAGGACTGTCACCTGTGTAAAAGGTTCTTTTTGCCTCTTGCCTCTCTGCTGGGCCAGGTAGCGGATCAGGGAGTTGTTCTCCGGGGAGCCCCGCAAGCCGATGGTCGATCTGCGCCGGAACTTCAGCGAGGTGGGAGAACTCCCTGCCAGGGGGGACAAGAGCAGAGCTTAAAAAATAAATAAAATAAGAACAAGCCCAGAAAAAGCCAGGAATTTTTTTTTAATACCTAAAGCTTCAAAATGCTATTTTTTTTGGTCTTTTTTAAGAGTGATTTCTGCTATTTCTGGAGAGACCCGAAGTTGTCTGCTCCGCTCAAGAAGTTTTCCTGAGCAAAAGGAAATGAGGTGCCTAAAAGCAAGTTAATATTTAACTGATTTATATACCATGTGAGGGGCTGGCTGGCTTTTAGTTTTTCAATTGCTAGGTAAGGAACTGAGCACAGGATTTGCAGAATTTGTCTTACAGCTCCCTTGTGAAGCTCAGAGACAAAAAGGGAACATCTAATTATGTAGGATGCAGGATAAATCCTGGTTAAACGTGGTAATTATCTTATATATAAGATATCCTATACATTACATTATATGTATATATAATATATATAAATATATGCTATATATACATATATATTATATATATGTTACATACACATATATATGTTACATACACATATATATTAAATATATGTTACATACACATATATATGTTACATACACATATATATTAAATATATGTTACATACACATATATATGTTACATACACATATATATTAAATATGTTACATACACATATATATTAAATATATGTTACATACACATATATATGTTACATACACATATATATTAAATATGTTACATACACATATATATTAAATATGTTACATACACATATATATTAAATATATGTTACATACACATATATGTTACATACACATATATATTAAATATATGTTACATACACATATATATTAAATATGTTACATACACATATATATTAAATATATGTTACATACACATATATATTAAATATATGTTACATACACATATATATTAAATATGTTACATACACATATATATTAAATATATGTTACATACACATATATATGTTACATACACATGTATATTATATATATGTTATATATACATATATATATGTTATACATACATATCTATTATAATATATATTATGTATAATATATACACATATACATAATTTACATGTACATAATGTTCTATATCATATATTGCAAATATTATATAGAAAAATATATCATATAAAGATAGAAGGGATATAAATAAATAAATATCTATATAAGTAAATATTATATAAATATATAAGATACAGGATATTATAGCAACTCCTCTCAGAGTCTGCTCCTTGGGCATATCCAAATGCTGTCAGAGCACCTGAATCTGCCCTAAATTGGAGCTTTTGGGAAGAGCTTGGACTAGATGACCTCGAGATGCCTCTCTGGGAAGGACAACAGTCCTTACTCACCCCAGCCTCACCTTTACATCGTTTGGTGAAACTTTCTGGAGCAATCCCAAACTCAGTAATTGTCACAGTAGCAAAATCAACGGGGTTTTCCCTCAGCTCTTCAGATGTCCCCAAATCAGGTTTTCCTTCAGCTTTGTCCCTCTCAGGAGTGGAGCAGGAATCACTCCCCAAGGAACCAGACCTGCTGCCTGGAAAATCCTCCTCCCTGTTCAAAGGCAAGGTGGGTTCACTGCCCACATCCCCTTGGAGGACACCACAACAGCCCCCAGGGAAGGGGCAGCTCCTGGGATCCCCCTCGGGGTGGGACAATTCCTCCCCGAGGCCTTTGGGGGATTTCAGGGCACGTTTGGGTGACCAGGCCTGGTTCCCATCGCTCAAATTCTCCTTCTTGGACGCTCTGATGACTCTGAATTTAGTCCCTTTGCAGATCTTCTGGTCTTTTGGCAGAGGGAAAGAGGCCTCATCTTTCTCTTCAAGACAACCACCCTCGTTTTCTTTAACTTTCAGGGGACTCTTGGGTTGTCTGTGCATTGTTTGGGATTTATTTTAAGAAACATTCACTCAGCCTTCGCTCCTGTAATCACAGATTCCTATCAAAAAGAAAAACCAGATTATTATAGTTATTTCCTAAGAGCAAGAGTTCCCTACCACGCTCAAGCTGCTCCCAAACCCACATTTTTCCCGAGCAAAGTGTTTTTTCCAGTGTGATGGAAAGGAAAATTTATCTCCAGAGAGCTACAGGGAAAGGACACAAAGGGCTGGAACAGGAGAGAGGAATGCACAGCAAGCAGTACAACAAACAACATAGTACAAGCAACGTAATAAACATAATATAAGCAATAAATATACATGGGGAAGGGAACACAAGGCCACGATTTCAATCTGTCAAACTTCATATCAGGGTAAAATCCATGCACAAAATACATTAATCACAACCACGCTGTGACTGTTTTGCCCCAAGTGTTGCAAAAAATGTCAGCAGTTTAATACTACTTTTTATAAGACTCATTAGCATCAGCAGAGAAAGAGAGAGAGAGAGAGAGAGAGAAAAGACAAGTCTTGAGAAGAAACCAGCAGAAGGAACAATAATACTTTTTTTTTTTTTTAATACCACTAAGTTTTAACTAGAAAACTTAAGAGGCTAACTGGTTTGTTTGGGTTTTTTTTGTTTGGGTTTTTTTTGTTTATTTGTTTGTTTTTGTTAGTTTCCTGGATTTGAAGTTGACGATGTAGAACTCAATAACATCAGCCTGAAACTTCGGTTCTGCAAATACCTGCGTTCTTAGAAGCAAAATTAAGCCCGTAAACACCGCGTTGGCGATTAATTTTTTTTTCCTTTTTTTTTTTTTTCCCTGCTTTAAGGCCACACTGGAGGCCAATGCACACAATGAGACACCACACCAGCCCGCGTGGGGGTCGAGCCCGCCCGTACCCCCCAAGTCCCTCCGGGCTCGCCCCTCGTACCCCACACAGCGCATCCATCCCACACCCCCCCAGCGCCGCTCGTAGCCCCTCAGACACCCCGCGATCCCTTCGTGCCGCCTCA